GAACGGCGATTCTGGGCCCGGGAAACAAGCACGGACTGGTGGGACCGTATAGTGCTTCAGGTCTGGGATGAATCCCAGTGGCTGCGAAACTTTCGCATGCGGAAGGGGACTTTCCTCGAACTTTGTGAGTTGCTGTCCCCTGCCCTGAAGCGCAAGGACACCCGCATGCGAGCAGCCCTCACTGTCCAGAAGCGAGTGGCCATAGCCCTCTGGAAGCTTGCAACGCCGGACAGCTACCGGTCAGTCGCGAACCACTTTGGTGTGGGCAAATCTACCGTGGGGGTTGTTGTCATGCAAGTAGCCAAGGCAATCGTGAAGGTACTGCTCCCAAAGGTAGTGACCCTGGGAAACGCGCAGGTCATCATAGATGGCTTTGCCGCGATGGGATTCCCAAACTGCGGTGGGGCTATCGATGGGACTCACATCCCTATCCTGGGACCGGACCACCAGGCCAGCCAGTACATCAATAGAAAGGGCTACTTTTCAATGGTGCTGCAAGCACTGGTGGACCATCGGGGACGGTTTACAAACATCTACGTCGGATGGCCGGGCAAGGTTCATGACGCTCGCGTGTTCAGGAACTCTGGTCTGTTTAGACGGCTGCAGGAAGGTATTTACTTCCCAGACCACAAAATAACTCTTGGGGATGTGGAGATGCCTACAGTCATCCTCGGGGACCCAGCCTACCCGCTAATGCCCTGGCTCATGAAGCCCTATACTGGCACCCTGGACACAGAAAAAGAACTGTTCAACTACCGGCTGAGCAAGTGCAGAATGGTAGTGGAGTGTGCTTTTGGCCGTCTCAAAGGGAGATGGAGAAGCTTACTGACTCGCTGTGATCTCAGTGAAACCAATATCCCCATCGTTATTGCAGCTTGCTGTGTGCTCCACAATCTGTGAGAGCAAGGGGGAGACCTTTATGGCGGGGTGGGAGGTTGAGGCAAATAGCCTGGCTGCTGATTACGTCCAGCCAGACAGCCGGGCCATTAGAAGATCCCAGCGGGACGCCCTGTGCATCCGGGAGGCTTTGAAAGCTAGGTTCCTGAGTGAGCAGGGCAACCAGTGACTTTTCAGTTTGTGGACAGAAAAGCTGAACCTGCCCCCGTTTCTTTACCCAGTTCATTTTGACTATCCTCTCCAGTTACATACCCCCTTCACCCCCTTCCCCTTCCCAAAAAATAAAATCATTTCGATTTTGTTAATGAACACCGTTGTCTGTGTTGCTGTTTTCGCGGGAATATTTTAAACCGGGGACGCAGACTGTGGCGGGGGGCGGGTTCAGTGTTCTGATGCAAATGATGCTTCTAAACTCCCGGAATGCCAGGCTCCGCACTGGTGGACTGGTTATTTCAATGGAGAACATGAAAAACACCTCCCAGACTGACCAGGGTAACCAGTGACTGCACTGTGTATGTGTCCTGATGCTGGACCTGACACCGCCTCTGTACCCTGCTAAAGGTCACTGTCCTGCCCAATTACCAAGCCCCTTCCCCCCCTCCAGACAGACTCTCCCTCAAAAGAACCTGACTGAAACAGTAATGGAGAGAAACAAACATTTTATTGCGAACCAGACATGAAACGTGGGGGGTGAAACTTGGACGGGGGCTTGTGTGAGGTGGGTAGGAAAGGACTTATGAAATTTTGGGGAATGTCAGCCTTCTAGTGCTAGAGCAGTCTGCAGGGGTTGACTGAAAGTTTTAACGGCCCTTGCCGCCCCTCCTTCTTTGGAGTTTGGGTGAGGGTGGTGTGGGACTTGGTGGCGGGTGAGGGCGGTTACAGATAGACTGCAGCGGGGCTCTGTCCTCCTGCCTCCGGTCTTGCAGAACATCCACAAGGCGCCGGAGCGTGTCCGTTTGCTCCCTCATTAGTCCAAGCAGCTTTTCAGTAGCCTGTTGGTCCTCCTGACGCCACCTCTCCTCCCGTTCCATGACTGCTCGGTGCATTTGTGACAAGTTCTCCCTCCACTGTGTCTGCTGGGCTGCCTGGGCTCGGGAGCATCCCATTAGTTCTGAGAACATGTCTTCACGCGTCTTCTTCTTCCTCCGCCTAATCTGCGCTAGCCTCTGGGAGTGTGCTGACAGGCTGGGTTGGGAGACAGTCGCAGATGTGTCTGTGTGAATTGTGAAAAGGGAGTGAATTCCTGAGACAGATAAATGAAATTGTATACAAAGAACCTAGTCTTTCTCTGTGAACAAGACCATGCACTGCACCTCTCACATGCGCACTCAGGACAAGGTCGAATTTTCGGCCGTCGCCTTCAGTGCCTGTGGACTTGCGGAGGTCTTGGAGTGTTCAGAGAAGCGTGGCTGGAGACCTGAACTTCTGGAGCGGGCAATAATGGTAAGCCGCAGACTTGTGGCTGCTTAAAACTCCAGCAGTAGCACTGGCCTCCTTTCACACTGAAAGCAATGCCAGTCTCTGCTGCCAGCAATCAGGACAGCATCAACTCTGCCCCTGTCCCACCCCCTCGCGGCTGTCCCAGGGAAAGATCCCTGTATGCTGCCCCTCTCCCTCCACCGCGTGGCTGTAAAGCAGTCCCAATACTAACATTCCCCTCCCTAATTCAAAGCAGGGCGTCATGAGCGACATCACCCTCCTGAGGATCCCGGACACCCAGAGAGAACGCATGCTGCGGGAAAGCATGCAGAAACCGGGGCCGTATGCCGCCATGCTATGTCGGGCCATGATCCCGGAGTACTTGATTGTGGCGTGGAGGGGGCATGTCTGCTACCACGGAGGGCCCACTAAGATCGCCCTACCCCGGAACCTGATCAACAGGCTTGAGCTCTACCTCCACGAGACCTACGAGGAGTTCTCCTACGAGGATTTCTCGTCGATCCCCGGCCACATTGACCGGATTTTCGCGTAGGTGCACTGGGACTATGGAGTGGAGCGTCTTGGGCCTGGGAATCATGGAGTAACGGACATTGTGAAAATTTTTTAAAACACTTGGGACTAAATTGAGAAGAGCCTAAGACAGAGAAATCATGAAAACCCATTTGTTACCTTTGTAAATATTCCTGTTTTGTACCTGATTATTTTTTTACTAGTTTACAGAACTTTTATAAATGTACATTGTTAATAGTATAAATATTACCGTTCTGTTTTAAATAAATGTTTACATGTTTACAGCACTTACTGCTTGATCCTTCCCCTGATTCTGTGTCCGGGGTAAGGGATGGGGACGGTTGGTACGGGATCTCGGTAAGGGTGATGAAGAGCTCCTGGCTGTCGGGGAAATCAGCGGTGCCAGCGCTGTCGACTGCCTCGTCCTCCTCATCTCCTTCTTCATCTTCCCCGTCCGCTGTCATGTCCGACGAGGAACCGGCCGCGGACATGATCCCATCCTCGGAGTCCACGGTCAGGGGTGGGGTAGTGGTGGCGGCCGCTCCCAGGATGGAATGCAGTGCCTCGTAGAAACGGGATGTGTGGGGCTGGGATCCGGAGCGTCCGTTAGCCTCTTTGGTTTTTTGGTAGCCTTGTCTCAGCTCCTTGATTTTCACGCAGCACTGCGTTGCATCCCGGCTGTAGCCTCTCTCTGCCATGGCTTTGGAGATCTTCTCGTAGATCTTAGCATTCCTTCTTTTGGAGCGCAGCTCTGAAAGCACGGACTCATCGCCCCACACTGCGATGAGATCCAAGACTTCCCGATCAGTCCATGCTGGGGCCCTCTTTCTATTAGATTGCACGGCCATCTCTGCTGGAGAGCTCTGCATAGTTGCCACTGCTGCTGAGCTCCCCTCGATGTCCAAAGAGGAACTGAGATTCAAACTGCCCAGACAGGAAAATGAAAATGAATTCAAATTTTCCCGGGGGTGTGGCTGGTCAGAGCATCCGAGCTCGGACTGCTGTCCAGAGCGTCAACAGAGTGGTGCACTGTGGGATAGCTCCCGGAGCTATTACCGTCGATTTCCATCCACACCTAGCCTAATTCGATATGGCCATGTCGAATTTAGCGCTAATCCTCTCGTTGGGGAGGATTACAGAAATCGATTTAAAGAGAGCTCTATGTCGAACTAAATGGCTTCCTGGTGTGGACGGGTGCAGGGTTAATTCGATATAACGGCGCTAAAGTCGACATAAAAGCCTAGTGTAGACCAGGCCTAAAAGATGTATGATTTCATGAGTCACCACTGGAAATTCATCAGTTAATCAAACTGCAGGAAGAAGAGGGTAAACTCCAGCTGCTGGGGAGGGCAGAAGGAGTACATTTCATAACCATAACTAAACCAACTGTACTATTTAAGGGCCCAATCTTGCAAGGTGGTAAGTGCCTTTCCTTCTCTTGGAAGTGGATGGGACTTGAGGGTGCTCAACCCCGCCAAGTCTTAGGCTCTAAATGGACAATTGTGACCAGCATTCAGACACACGGGTGGGGAAACACTCTATAAACATTTAAGATAAATAGTACCAAAGCACTAGCTCAGGAAGCATGCACTACAGAATACCCAGTACTTATAAAGAGATGGACAACCCTCAGGAGTTGCTGAAATCTTTCCTCCCCGCTCTGACCTCCCACCTGCACCCCACACCGTTACCGCCTGCTGTCGCGCATCAACTGGCGTTTGAGGCCTTCTGCCTCTTGCTTTTGTTCCCTCTTCTGCTGCCTCAGCTCCTCTTGCTGCCTTCTGTGCTCAATCCTGGCTGTGTTGAAGTCCATCTTTCTCAGGCTCTCTTGAGTTACACCCTTGGTGACTGACTTCTGAAAGAAAAAGTCCTTAATATCAGTAAAGGTTTGTTCCTAATGTAAACTGAAGTCCTGTATAATCAGTAAGGCTTAGTTTCCCAATGTCATTCCTGAGCTCTGAGAGCAACACTTATTGATTGTTGTCACAGCATCATTTCCCAGCTGTGAGCATGATGGGTCTGACACTAGCACATTTCAGGAGCTCTACGGAAGGGTCAAGCATGGTCTATAACTAGCTGGGTGAAGGAAAATCCAGGTACTTCAAGAAATGGTATTCACAATTCAGTAGGCAGTACTGTTCCAGCTTAGTCAGTACTGACCCAATACATGGAACTGCCCTAGGTTGTTGTTACAGCAACTTTTGGATTAGAACAGAGGGATGAAAAGCATGAGCAATGAAGCATCCACTGAGTTCTTATCTCATTGTGTAGTGTTTACTTTGTCTCCTGAATATGCAGTGTACTCCTAATACAAGTGTACCTGAAGCTTCAGATACAAGTTTGAATTTAAATAACAATAAGCTATAGTTCCTTTGCTTTAGGAACTGTAGGCTGCAATTGCCTTCCCTATTTTCCTGGTTGTCCTTAGAAGGCTCATGTAGTGTTTCTGCTGTTTTTTAATTAAAAAGTCAGTGTCTGAAGCTGTAGGTATCTTTGCTAAATCTTTCGAGTGTTTTCCTATTCTTTGCTGTGTGGCATGTGCAAAACCTAGGCCCTGTAAGTGGTTCATGCTTAATGTGCTACAGCTGGAAAGATTTTAAACAAATAAAGTGAAACTTCAAAAAACTAAAAGGTGCTTTATAAATGGAAGATGAAAAAGCGGTGTGATCTAGTGCAGTGGCTCTCAACCTTTCAGGAGTCTGATTTGTCTTGTGTACCCCCACATTTCACCTCACTTAAAAACTACTTGCTTACAAAATCAGACATAAGAATACAGAAGTGTCAAAGAACACTATTACTGAAAAAGTGCTTACTTTCTCATTTTTACTATTTAATTATAAAATAAATCAATTGGAATATAAATATTGTACTTATATTTCAGTGTATAGTATAGCGGGCAATATAAACAAGTCATTGTATGAAATTTTAGTTGGCACCGACTTCGCTAGTGCTTTTTATGTAGCTTGTTGTAAACCTAGGCAAATATTTAGAGTAGTTAATGTACCCCCGGGAAGACCTCTGCGTACCCCCAGGAGTACACATACCCCTGGTTGAGAACCACTGATCTAGTGGCTAGAACACAGTATTGAGGACTAAGACACCCTCAATTTTCATCCCAGCTTTCATATGGACTCCCCTTATGGCCTTGGACTAGTCACTTAACTGTTCTGTTCCTTGGTTTCCTTATCTGTAAAAGAAGAATTATTCTTTTATATATTGCAAGGATGATTGAGAGGATTAGTCAGTATATGAAGATGAAAAGCTCCACAGAAGGGCTAAGTATTAATATCAGCATACAAGAAAATGTCCTGTTCCTGGACAATGACACCATGCATTGATGGGGGTTTGATATTTGTATGGGTGTATGTATCTTCTATTGCAGTACATGTCACCATAAAATAGACAAAAATGAGGCCATGCTAGTTGATTTATACCATGCCATGTGAATAAATCCTGTGAACCTAATGGCCAGGAACTAATTGGTCCAGATTGTGTGTTGTAGTACAGCTGCTTTGCACCACACTCTCCACATAATGCAACCCTTAAAACAGCATAGTCTGGCCCAGAGGATTACACCATTGGAGGATTCCCCCACAATAGGGTAGAGGTACCTACACCTCCAGCTGCCAGCAAAGAGTGTGACTGGGGTTTGGCCAGGTATCCCTGTCCTCTTGACAATCAACATAAATTAGAGCAGCCCTCAGGCTGTCTAATTTATGCTGGCACAGAGATGGCCAAGGATAATGGGAGTTGGTGCACTGGAGAATTTGAGCCAGTGTCCAGTAGTCAACTCATTCTCCTGACATTTAGCCAATCAGAGATCAGACTTCCTTACTTCTAATTAGGCCCTTATGAAAATAACCTTTCAGGAAATTGACAAAAAGAACTTTGTGGCACAAGCCAATCATGAATCTATTCAACCGATTTAAATAGGCTTTTGACCAGGCATTGGGTCAGCAATAACAAATGTTTGCTTTATTCTTCCTAGAAAAAAGCTGTGTGCTCTTAACCTGTGTACTCGGAGCACTGTGGGGTCTCTGTATACGCAGAACTGATTCAATGGTCAAGCGGTCTTTCTTCAGTGATTGATCCACTCGGTCAAACATAGCTTGGAGACTGGAAGTGCTGAAAGCATGTGCTTTCACGGGAGGGTTCCTTGGGGGATGCTGGGCTGGAGCTTCTATCATGCTGGACTGAAAAAGAGCTTTCAGACAAATTAGAGATATAACAGGTGATGGACACCTGATAAAATGGTGAACAGATAGAAAGAAAAGTGTGTTAATGTAAAATGCATTCAAGCAAGACCTTTCTATTACCAGTAAGTACTAACATTTCTCCCCAAGGAAGTGGGAGCTTTTTAGTGACCACAGGACAGTCACCACTTTCAAAAATAATCTTGCCAACATAGACAAGGAACCAGAGTAGCAGCCGTGTTAGTCTGTATCCGCAAAAAGAACAGGAGTACTTGTGGCATGCATCCGAAGAAGTGGGTTGTAGCCCACGAAAGCTTATGCTCTAATAAATTTGTTAGTCTCTAAGGTGCCACAAGTACTCCTGTTCTTTTTATAGACAAGGAAGCGTTTTTACCCAGTAACTGGGATGAAGCGTTGACTGTGCTCACATCTACTGAGCCTCTCTCAGTAGGAGTTACTGTAGTTTACTGGCTGTGAGGAAATGTGCACCTCTGCTATACCAGTTTCAGCCTCTCCTCATAGGAGGCAGGACAGGGAATGGAACAATGGCACTAAATAGGTGGTGCGGCTGGAGGAGGCTTTTGGCCTTTGGAATCCACTCCCAGTTGCCTGCACATCTCACAGATCTCTCTTAAGTGAGGAAGGCATTGGTTAAAGGGGACCTAATTAAAAGATGTTTTAGACTATGAACCTTTTTTACAATACTAGAACAAGGGGTTACCCAGTGCAATTAAAGAGCAGTAATCTCTTAAATTAAAGTGCAGAACAAAGAAAAGTACGTATTTCTTCACACAGATTATAGTCAACTTGTGAAATCCTTTGCCACAGGCAGTCCAGTCAAATACTACAGTCAGATTTTTAAAAGGGTAGGATAGCTTTAGGACTAATAAAATTTGTAGTGCATGCTAAGACAGGGGCAATCAAAGATCTTACTTCAGGGAAGGTGGCAGCCGCAGGAGCCCAAAAAGAACTGTTCATGTTTCAGAGGAAGATAAGTAAATCACCATAGTGCACAACCACTAGTGCCTACACATACCAGAGCACGATTGACCAGATGCATTATGGTGTTTTTTCATCTTCCTGTAAGGCACCAGGAATGACAAGAGACCAGACAGGAAGAACCAATGCTCTCATCTAGTATGGCATGTCCTAGGCTTGTATGAAACAGCTAATTGATACAATATCAATACCAGGTTCATTCTTCAGAAGAGACTCGGGATCAGCCCCATAGTGTCTGCTGTCTTCTTTGTCATCGTGCATTGGCTCCATTAGGCAGGTATCTGGGTGGACAGCAATATCAACCATGGCACGAGCACCTCCCATCAAACGTGTTGAAGTCATCTCCTTCTGAGGGCTCTGGAAACAACAGGAAACTATCAAAATGCTGAGCCATTGGGGAGTAGAATGTGTCAGTAACATGAAATTACAAAATAAGCTACTGTATGATCTTGCCATTACTGCACTAATCCCATCGTTAGTGTAAACTAACCCTGGCTGATACTACCTGAATGACTGGCGAGCCTTCAGCTGTAGGGAAACATTGCTTGGAGAGGAAGAGCTGTCATTGCTGACACAGTGGTGACTAACTTTACTGTCATTTTGACATGGACACAAGCAATCCAAACTTCTTCTTGAAATTGGGGTTTCAGAAGGAAAATAAAACTGGTTTCTTTATTCAAGGAATAAGTGAAGCCTTTAAACATAGGAGTTTCTGCCCATTTCTTAGGTTTGTCTGCAGCTAAAAGCTACCCCACAACTGACAATGTTTCTGCATTAAAGGGACCCAAAATTGGAGTAGCAGGCCAGGAATAAGGTGCATTGGCAGACACGCACTAGAAGGAGGTGGGGTAAATCAGAATTGTGGTTCTCTGGAGAGCCATATGAAGAAGCTTGCACAGTACCTGCATGAACTAGGCCTCGTTCTAGCTGATAGCCTTCCCTCCCATGAGCACCAAATTAAACAGAAAAGGAAGAAATGCATTCATTATTAAATTGCAAAATCTCAGGGGAGAGATCCTCAGTTGTATAAATTGTCATAACTCCAGTGATTTCAAGTTACTGAGTGAGGTTCTCTGGCTTGTTTTATGAAGAAAGTTCAACTACATGATCATAATGGTCCCTTCTGGACTTAAAATGTATTAATCTATGAATGGAGCTCTGACAATTTATACTAATTGAGGATCTGCCTTTAACACTCAGCCCAAGGAGTCATAAACTACAAACAAAGCAAATAAAATAAAAACCCCAAATTCTGAAGGACTGTTTAGTATTACAAAGTGCTTGTGTATAAAAAAAAAAATCTTTATTCTGATCTTTGGTTTAAAAATCTTTGGGGGGACCAAATTTGTTAAAGCCAAAGAGACTCATTAGTGTGCACAAAAATGCCTATATTTGTACAAGCAATTACCATGATTTACATATGGCCAGTTAGGTATGCTGCTAATTAATTGTACAGACATCTGATGCAATAAATGTTATCTTTGTATGTGCGTTTAACACTGTATTATTTCATATATTAATGCAGAACAACAATAACCAAGCAAATCAAATGTTAAGAGTGAAACATACAAGTTACTTTGGAACCAATAGTCAACATGTCCATGAAACAATAAACATGCCAAAAATACCTGAGTGTGGAACCAATATAGGCCAGATCCTCAGTCTTAGTCCTATCTCCTTTGTGTCATGGATGGAGCTGCCTTAACAGGGTGAATAGGGATTCCTTCTGTACTGAGTGGTACAAAACCATCTTAGTGACACCCTCTCCTGCCCGTACCCACACTGTAAAGGGGGCATGCCAAGTCAGGATAAGGTGTGGCTAGATTGTGTTGTGCTCCAGTGATCCTGAACAGGTGGAGTAGCCACTAGGAGTCTGTTCCAGCCAGTGCCAGAGAATGAATGAGACCCCAGCTATTCCCTGGATCAAAGGCTCAGAAAGGTGGTAGAAAGCCATCTATGATTTCCCCATCCTTAGCAGAACTCAGGTATACATGATAATCTAGTCCAGTATTTCTAATATTTTTTTGCCACAGAAAGCAGAATCACGGATATTACTGCAGCTATAGCAAAGGATATTGTAATACCATAGTCTGTATGAAGCACTCTCTACCTTCTTGGGTTCTGTAACCTTGTTTCCCATCTCCACACAGGATCCTAAATCTTTAGGGACGTTTTCTTTCTTTAATCGCTTCTTCTTTTCCTTTTTATCTTCCTCTTTGGAGACCCTTTCTGAAATGGGGACTCTCCCTTTAGACAGCTGTTCTTCTATCTTCCTGCTCAGCTCTTCTTTGGTCAGGCTTGTTCCTGGGATCAGGACATCTTCTGGTTGTGCTCTGTTCACTGTGGGCCTGATGGGCACCCAGGCTCCAAGGCAGCAATGGCAAAGTGAGGAACATCCAGAGCTGCAGTTAGGACATGACTGAAGCTGTGTGGAACCCTGCCAGCAAACTGGATCTAAGTGATCCTGTCTGCCATGCCCTGAAGCTCTGTAACCAGGTGTCACAATGTAGGGATAGTCTGAGCTTGAGTCCACCAACATTTGCCTGGCTACTAATGGCATCTGAAGTTCCAGGATGATGCGTTCACTCAGGGGCAGAGGGATCCTTAGAGCTAAATCAGAGGACACCTTCTTAGTCTGACCATTCCAGAAATTCACCAGCACTCCGCTGTTTTCACTGGCTACAAACAGAAATAAATGACAAACAGTACTTTAGAAGTATGCCAAAAACATGCCTGATTGACCTCTTGGAGACCTGGAGATGAAACAAGATCTTGTACTATGGAAAGCAGGGAAAGATTTTGTAACCATTTAAAAGTGGTTTTGCTTTATATATTTAGGATTCACACTCATCTCTTTCAAACTTACTGAGAAGACAATGGGTAAAATCCCGTCTTCACTGAAGTCAATACAAAACTCCCACTGACTTCAGTGAGGCCAGGATTTCACCCAATATGCATCTAGAGAGTAGCCTCAATCATCTGGGTACCTAAGAGGCCCCAGAACTTTTTTTTCTCTTTATGTTAGAAGTGGTATCACCTGGCTCCACAACAGATTAAATGCTTTCAAAGTCCCCATTCACAAAGCAGCCCTACAGCTTGATTCATGGAGCAGCACTAGATTCTGGCACTGAGCAGGAAAAGGTTACTTAGCCGCACTGAAAGGAAAAGAGAAGGGAGGAAGAGGGAAAGCAAATTACAGATTGTATGCTCCTTGCGGCAGACACTGCTTTCGTCTCTGTACAGTGTCTAGCACACTTCAAGGTGCTACTCCAATATAAATAACAATAGGAAAAAATGTACTGTACCTAACTGTGCTTCACTGTTCTCTGCAGCTTTTAGTACAGTGCCTGGGCCATATCGTTCACCTTTAGCCTCCCATGGTGCCAAGACTCTGTCTCCTGGAGCTAGTGGCTGTCGCCTGGCATCTTCATAGTGGATAATGTCATAGAGGGGTGTTTCTTGCATGCGAAACTGTACCTTGCCTTTCAGCAACCGACTTCTCTCAAACTCGATTAAAAAACGTTCCCTGGAGCCCTGCAGGATTAAACCATGCAGTATGCAAGGTGAGTCCCACAAATGGCCAAACACAGGGGCTAGGGGCTGCTAACACTAGGGAGAGGGAACTGGCAGAAATTCCAAGAAATAGCACATGGTCAGAGAATCCATTGAACCTAGAACACTCATTTTTTCACTCTGTTCTGTCCAAGTTTGTCTTTAAGGGTAGTTAACGAGCTTGAAGACCATAGCAGATTGCCAGGTAAAGCTCTCCCCTTCCTTCACTCTTGGATCTTGCAAGTAATGTGTTCACTGGGGATGAGCAGCACAACTGCCATGCTAAGGAAGACCTCTATCACCCCAGTCAGTGGAAAAAGGGTAGCCAAGACAGACTGCTTTTTTGCTGCCTGGTAGGTTACATAGTAATAAAGGGGAAAATAAAATGGTAAAATGCTCCCAATGCCGTAATTTTTACTGCTTTAATTTGAGCATCCACTATAGGAGTGGGGAGTAATTCAGGTAATTCCTCTGCTCCACAAGTGGCAAATTGTTGGGAAAGGTCAATGTTAAATTCTACAAGTGCCAAGAAGCCAACATCCTTTTCTCCTGTTTTTCCCAAAACAGTCTGTTTCCCTGCTGATTAAAACGAGAGAGGGCATGGTCTTTTCCACTATTGGGGTAGGTCACAGAGTTAACAATGGTGATATAGAGCAGCTATTTCAGCCAGCCTGCCCCCTAGTATCCTCATCCTGAACTCAGACACATCATCTTGCAAAATGTTTGATTTCCACTGGCCCAGATAAAATAATCTCTGAAGGGCTTTGATAGCATCTTCCTTTTCCCTCACAAAACAATGACTTATATTAACTGTATTGGGGATTTCATACGGGGAGTGACTGCACATTCGAATGATATCAACGCTTTGCGATAGTCACATTTGTTTAATTTAAGTGATCCTTAGCTCAAACCCTGGTTCTTTACCCAGCTTTTCCTTGTATGGCTATGAAATACTCAGTTGACCATAAAAGGTTGCTGATTGCACATTTCCAATGAGAAGAAAGCCAAGGAGGCCTGAGATTATGTCATCTTAAAAACCAAACAGAATTCATACCAATGGAATTCTTCAGTAAGCATTCCCTTCTTCAGAAAACCTGTCTTTAGTTGATAACTACAGAGATCGGCTCCATAACAAAAGAATTTTGGCCACTTGTTATACAAAGGCCAGGCCCTCTGAACAAAGAGCACTGTAATGGCATATTCTGGCCCTTGTGGCACACTCCCCCAGAAGGGGAAGTCTTGGGAGCCAGGCCACCCCATGGCAGGAGTTCTGCTGCAAATAGAGACCCAGGGAACAACAGAGGCTGCCACTGAGAGAGAGGGGAGTCGAAAAAATGCACCCCAGCAGAGATGCCTGTGGAGGAAGGGATCCAGGAGAGGGGCCTTTTTAGTTTGTTCAGTTTTTTGGCAAGCGTTGTTTAGCTGCTAGACTTTCCTGCCAGCTTGGGTGGAGCTGGGTGAAGGTGATATAAAGGACTTGCTGGCTGTGACTGGCTCTGAATGACAACTTGTGGCATTCACCAAAAATGTGTGTCCTTCTGATTGCAGGGCTCCTTGCTGTAAACAGCTAAGAGTCATTGAAAAGCAAAGAACAACATGATTAGGAAACCCCAGATACCAGCTTATGCCAAGGACCTCAAGCCTCAGCGGAACACTAACAAATACATTGCTGGAACCATTCTGGCTCACCTGTGTGTAAACAGGCGTTAGAATTATAAAAAATGTGCTTAGTGTTTAGACTTTATTGAATGCTTGTAAGCTGCTGCATGTATTAATCTCACTTCTAACATCTGTATCCCATATTGTAAGGTAATATTTAAGCATTTGTATTATAAGTCTCTGTGACTGTGTAAGTCACCAGACAGGAGACATTAATTAGTGTAAAAGTGCTGATCTCCAACAGAAGATGTTATGTCCTGTCTCAAAAGAAAGGCCCAGGTGAACTATTGTGAAACATCAGAGAGGACAAAAGAGTTTGTTGATTGCTCTCCTCCCTCTCATGAAAAGGAGTCATGCAAGTGATTTCCTTTCATCAGCTGAGTTTTCAGCTCAAAACACGTGAAGAAGAAGCAAATAAAATGCCATAACAGGGAGGAACTGTATCTTTATATTGCTTGGATTCTGAGTGGCAAGGATTACTAAGCATAAGCAAAAAATCCTCAGTGCTTAGCCTGGGTTATCCCTAAAGGACATATAGAGCTTGCTTATTATGGAAGCTTCTATTACTTTTTAAAACTTAAGATTGGAACTCTTTTGTGTGTATATATGCTTACCTGCTTTAACCTTGTAAATAACTCTTGTTTCCTTTTCCTATATAATAAATCTTTCGATAGTTTGTTATAGGATTGGCTGCAAGTGTCGTCTTTGGTGTGAGATCTAAAGTGCAATTGACCTAGGGCAAGTGACTGGTTCTTTGGGACTGAGAGTAACCTGACTATTGCTGTGATCTTTAGTGTAAGAGATCATCGATCACAAAAGTAAGCTTACCTGGGTGGTGAGATACATCAGAGTACTCAAGGGGACTGTCTGCCAGAGGAGTTTACACTTGATAATTGATTAGTGACATCTACATATAGAACTCACAACCAGTTTGGGGTTTGTGCCCTGTTTCTTAACAATCTGCCCTGAGCTTGATTCCCACCATTGTGAGCCACTGCAGGACAGCGTGATACCCATCCAGCAAGAGAGAGAGAGAGAGATGGGATAGCCAAAGGAGACCCACCCTAGCGAAGCCCCAGGTGAGGAATAGGGAGAAACATCACATGTAACCCAAGGAGGAATCATTTACAACCATCATTTACATTAAAGACTTACCTTCACCTCCTGGGCAATGTGGCCCAGATAATAATATCCATCAGTCTCTCTCCTAGCCAGGACTCGGGCCCCCCTCAACAAATGGGGAGCCTCTGGGGACCAGTCCATTAAATCTCCCTTTGTCAAGGTTGTCAGAGGTATACTAGGGGAATTTGCACAGACGTACACAGGAAAGCTGTGGAAACAGGATAGTGGTATGTTCTAGGAAGGGATGAAGATTCTCACAATAGATAATGCAGATTTCTTCAATTTATGAAAATTAAAGCCAAAGAAAATCCACCCAAAACTGGGGTGGTTTCCCAGTTGTTTCCATCACTGGGTTATCAAATTGAGCTACTACGCTAATGGTTCTGGCAGTCCCATGCTCCACATTTTGGACTTACTGTGCTTTAGGAATACCCATCAGCAGAGAACAAGAGGGGTATTTACTGATAGCATTGCAACAGTGGATGCTTGAGGTGCACCCTGGGTTTACCTGGAAAACAGGGAAGAGAAGCAGAAAATTAAACTAATTTCTGAATGAAGCCATAAACCCATAAACCAGTTATTTTATATTTAAAGCTTCAATTCACACTCAAACAAAATTCAGCGATCTACCTTGGTTCTTAACCACACCCCTCAATGTAGTATATGAGCTCTTATAAGTGTGCTATAGTTGATTTCTCCCATTTCAAGCAATCTAAAGGTTTAAAAGGAGGAACATTAAGAGACTAGAATATAAATACAAAATAAACCAAAGCTGTGAACATGTGGTAGCTAAATCATCTTTTGTTTCTTTAGTCAGTGTCCAAGTGCCCTGCATAACCCTTTTATTAAGATGTGATCCACACTGTGAAAAAAATCTGTGAAAACCTATGCTAGACAAATGCTAAGTGTTATTAATATTTTGCTTACTAAATGCACTGCTTAACAGTACTGTTATTTTTTTAGAAGGACAATATTCAATGTTACCTGCTGATGGTGATCCAAATAGCAATGGGATGTCTAAAAAGATATTTGGACCTACTGTAGCCATCACTGCTGCACAAACAGCTAGCATGGTAAGTGTGAAATGAATTGGCAGGAGTAAGGTATACTTTCTTTGCAAGGGCTTCCTCCAGGATCTCCATTTCCTTCCGCAACACCACAGTCTCTCCTTTCAAAAGCTGGAATCAGTTCATTTGAAAGCCTATCTGCACCACTTCAGAGGCCAAATTCAGGTCTGGTGAAGTCAGTAGGTTTGCACCTATGTATATCTAAATTTGAACCCTAATACTGGTCTCAGGTATTGTTGTTCAAGAGCAGTATGAGATGCTCCTTTCCCCCTGAGGTAGAGCATACTGCATGCACTACACTCCCAAATATGAGTCTAAAGCTGTGAGCGCTACAGAAAGGGAGAGAGTACTCATTAGAACAACTGTGTGCATGTGCAATCTTCAAATTTCTGACATAATCTTTAACAGAGATTCTGAATGTATTTCCTTTTTTTATTCACAGGAAGCTCTGTTTGCAGGTAGCCAGACAAAATATGTACTGGCCACCTTTCTAGAGAAAAATTTTCCTCTGCCCTAGCTCTGGTTTTGTGAAATTTTGTTTATGTGGACTGGGATTACCAAAAATTCATTTAATCTAAAACTGCTGTTATTGACTTACCTCTTCTGAAGCTCTAGAAGGGTGCAGGGTGATCACCTGAAAGGATCCTCCAGACTGTCTGGCTACTTTCTCCATTTCTTTTTGTGTGCTGCTTTCACAGTCACCTGGCTTTTCTACCAAGTACACAGTGTGCACTGGGCGTTCCTCGCCAGTCTCTGCAAGAAGGCTACAGATTTCCTCTGAAGCACTCTCAGAGAGTGCATCAGTGACCAAGTATACCACCTGGCAGGTGGGATCTTCAAATGCCATAGCCAAAGCACTCACAGCATCTGCACCATTCCCACACTGCAGAGCTCTAATCCAGGCGGTTGCTTCAATGATGTTACTGAGCGAACATTTGACCAAACTAGTGCGCCATTTTACCACCTGTACAAAAGCCAAAATTTGTAACCAAACACAATAAACATCTATTAAGCAAATATTTTATAACACAGAATTTTTTTAAAAATTGATAAAACTGAGAAATGGGTTAGCTAGTTGATATTTTGGTAAATGGTCTGACATATGTGAGATCCGGGACTTGATTCTCAGCCTGCTCATCCTCTGGGGTGGAGAAGGGAGTTTCTCACATCTTGCAATACAATTGCTCTAGTCAGTTAAGATGTGATGGGCTCTAAACTTTCTGGAGAAGAAACTGGGGTGCCATTCTATGGACTTTAAGGGCAAGGGGAGTTTTGAGGTTCCCAACAGGGTTGTAGAGGATTTCTTTGGAGGAAGATGGAAGAAGAATACAATGAATTTATCACCCATCAAGGGCTGTGGTAGAAAGCCAGAAATTTCCCTGGTTAAAAATGAAAAGGAAATGTCAGTCTTATGATGGTGTCTTATGAGACTCTCTGTGTAATCACAGATTCCAAAGCCCAAGTTTATTGCTGTCTACCTCCGCCTCATGTTTTTCTGTGTACCATCTGTATAACTCAGTATGGTAACTGTGAGCTGACTGATTTTAGTCAATATGTTAGATTACTCTAACTCCCTCTGTTCTAGAGTTATTTCAGTCATGGACAGAGAGAAAAGACCAAATCTTAGTGAAGTTATGAAGGGAAAAACAGCAAGTTTTGGACATGTCCTGGATGTGTTGGGCTAGAGAGAAGGAAGAGTCAAAGATCATATCACATTATGGGGCTGGAATGACAGGAAGGATGGTACTGTTAACAATAGTGACAGATAGTGGGAAGAGAGGTCAGAAGTTCAGTTTTGACTATATTACTGTGTTTCCCCGAAAATAAGACAGTGTCTTATATTAATTTTTGCTCCCAAAGATGCGCTAGGTCTTATTTTCAGGGGAGGTCTTATTTTTCCTGGAGCTTCGGGGCCTTATATTCCGGGGTGGCCTTATTATCGGGGAGGTCTTATTTTCGGGGGATGCCTTATATTACAGCGAGAGGCAAAACTGGAAGTAGGTCTTATTTTCGGGGGATGTCTTACTTTCGGGGAAACAGGGTAAGCTTAAATTGTTGGTGAGACATCCAAGAGAAGATGTCAGAGAGATGGGTTCCATGTTCCCTCAACTAAAGGAAGATATGGTGATAGGGCAGCAGGAAAATCATCTTTCACTATTCTAGAAGAGGACCACATGGATGGGCAAAGTGCGAAAGGGATGATGAGGACCAGGCAGTAAGGAAGCAAGTGTAAGGAAGCATGCATGAAAGATCCCAAGGCATCAACCAGCAAATCCCATCCCTTTCCATTTGTTCCCAGAGCTCAGAAGCCAACATTGCTACTGCATGAGAATGCTCTTCCAGACTTTGGAGTATTACCATGAAAATGCGTGAACCAACCATCACACTTGATGTTAGAATTCCTTTATTTGACACTGCCACAACTGTCAGCTCTTAAACAGGAGCAGGATATACCCAGGCCAGCTGTGGAACCAAGTACTCAAAACATAAGAAATTATACTATGAGGAATAATCCTATGCTGTCAGATAGAGGGACTGGGTAATCCGCTAGGCATTTTCCAACCCTATTATACTTATTTCACCCCACTGGGTACCATTAACTTGTTACAGCCACCTCACCTGGCAGAGATTACACTAGTTAATTGCTATAATTCAAACACAGCAACAATGATAAGCATTGTTTCCACTGATGTCACCTTTCTTATAAAACCTTAACCCTTTGCCCAGCAATGGCTGTGTTGGCATTACCTTGCTGGCAAAACTTATGATGTTGAATGTGGACTCTGTTGGACTGTTGGCCATCGAGAAGAGAGTCTTTATGAGATGCTCCTTCAGAAAATCCTGCTTGGAGGACATGCCTTCCAACATACTGACCACAAAGGTGACATTCTGGTCTTGGAGATCACCAAAAAAAGGTAAAGTGGCACAGCAGGGATGAGAAAGCACCGACATGGCCAAAGCACGAAGACAACCAGCTGCCAAAACAAACAGACCATTTATGAAAAGCTTCTTAAAACTGACTTTACAAAGGGCTTGTGGTACAAGGTGAATCCAATCTATTCCCAATACCTGTGCTAAATTAGCAGTCATATGTCACTCAGTGTGTTTACTTTCCCATAGTTCTCCAACTGCTTTAAAAACACACACCCAAAACTTTGTCTACACTACAGCATCTGATCCCAGTAGCAGGATGCATCATGTAGGCACTCAGATGAATGAGCTTGCACCAACTACAGCATCACCCTTAGAATTTGTAGAGAGTAATTTTCACAGACTGTTGGCCAGCAAACATCAACTGTAGCATCAATTTGTGTGTGGATGCAATGTCACTTCCCATTAACTCAGGGACATTACAGTTAACTTATCACTCTCTCATGCAGATAAAGCCTTTTAAAAACAATTCCCATTGGTGCTATCACTAGTTTAGCTGCATGGGCTAATTGAACCAGCAGGGAACTTAGTTTAGGGAAAAATGTGCTGGTTTCCAGCATTTTAATACTTTGTTAATTGCAGAGTTGTTGCCAACTCTCATGATTTTATCATGAGATTCACACTGCGTGGTTGGGTCATTACACTAATTGAATTTTTTCCCCCCCCATGTTAAGTTCTCTTCACACCTTCTATTGGTCATCTCGATTATCACTTCAAAGTTTTTTCTTCTGCTGCTACTGATAGCTCATCTCAATTGATTGGCCTCTTACAATTGGTATGCGTACTTCCACCTTTTCATGTTCTCTGTATGTATAAATATCTTCTGTCTGTGTGTTTCACTCTATGCATCTGAAGAAGTGAGCTGTAGCCCACGAAAGCTTATGCTGAAATAAATTTGTGAGTCTCTAAGGTGCCACAAGTACTCCTGTTCTTTTTGCGGATACAGACTAACACGGCTGCTACTTTGAAACACTATGTGGTGTTTTTCTTAAAGTTCCAGTTCCTGGAATCATGTGCTTACAGGAGTCTCTCAACTTTCATTTAAAAAATAAAACTAAGTTTCTAGCCCTCAGGCTTGAAAATGTCACCTGAGTGTGACCTAGAGATTCAAACACCAGAAAGAAAATAAAAATGACCCAAAATGTATTATTTTTCTTTAAATCTCTTGATTTTTAAGTCAATCTCATGATTTTGGGGGGCCTGAGTAATGATTTGTGAATATTTGGGTCTGGCAATCCAACCTTCTCCTCCATGCCTATGCTTGGTACCAGGGCCAGCTTTACCATTTTTGCTGTCCCAAGCAATAAATAAATAAATAAATAAATGGCGCCCTAACTGCTGAAGCAAAAAAAAAAACCGCTCGGACTGTGCCGCCCCAAGAATGGATGGAATGCCGCCCCTTAGCATGTGCCGCTCCAGGCACGTGCTTCCTCCACTGGTGCCTGGAGCCGGCCCTGCTTGGTACTTTCTCCCCTAAAATTCCCTATCACCCTCTGAGCCTTTTCTGTCTGGAAGGTGGTGGACATCACTGCCTAGCCCTGCTTTCAACACCCCGAACAGCATGGACCCCGATGTATTTATATTTGTGAGATGCTGAGAATGGAGCACTCTGGGTTCTGCCCCCTTCCATCCACCAAGCAGGACAGGTGTCTGTCTGTGGTCTCTTCCCCCCACCCCAGGGCAGGGCAGGTATGTGTGTGGGGGATCTGTTCCCCCCACCCCAAGGCAGGGCACAGTATGTGTGTGTGAATTTCTTCCTCCCACCCCAGGGCAGGGCACAGTGTGTGTGTGGGGGATCTCTTTCCC